TGGTGGATAAAAAGTCTACACAATTGCTCTATTTTGACAGGGATCAAATTGACACATTGTGTAAATTACGAGAAATTATTAATTTTTTTAAATTTTTTTTTATATGTTGATATTTTAATTGTCTGTTCATTTTTTTTAATTTTTTTTTTTATATGTTGAAATATCAAGCCAAACCAAATCCTATTTGTTGAAATAGATAGCCAATTCTTCTTCTTTATCATCATCATCACCATCATCATCAACAACAAAACACACACACACACACACACACACACACACACACACAAACCCACACAGATGACTATCTGTGAGAGAGATGGATTAAACTTCGTCTCCTTTCCCTTGTTGCTTCCATCATTATAAATCATGAACCTCAAGTTCGAAATTTTCATCCAATTTTGGGTAAATTATACAAATGGTTTCTGTAATTTATAGGATTTGTCAATTTGATATATGTTGTTTTAATTTGTTCGATTTTGTTCCTTAATTTAATAGATTGTATTATTTTAGTCTAATAAATAACAGTTGTTAAGTTTAGTGGATGGAAAGTCTACACAATTGCTCTATTTTGACAGGGACCAAATTGACACATTGTGTAAATTACAAGAAATTATTATATGCAGATAGGGTACCAAGCTGGCATCCATATGTGGTACCTTTAACTAATGGGAAAATGAGTGAGAGCACTAATTAGTGCCATCATTAATGATGTGGCAATGGGTCCCATCCACTGCCACAGTGTTTTTGTGTCTTTTAAAAAAAAAAAAAAAAGTGTATGCCACATCATTAGTGATTGCTTTAGAGCACCACTTTTAGTGGTCTCTATCATTGTCCTAACTAATAACATATTGACAGCAATTCTTTTTGCACTGCTGGAAAAAGGGGATATGGTGACGTTTTTCTAACGACGTTTTTTTAAACGTCACTATTATTAATATTTAACGGCGTTTTATAAACGTCGCATATTCTTTTAACCAAAACGGCACCGTTTTATAATAGGAGGCATTTAAAAACGCCTCCGAATGCGATAGCCACACGCGCCTTTTCAAACCTTACTTTGTATCTGGGCCCTCTCTCAGCCCTTAGACGCATACATCATTTTGAATCAGAGCTCTCTCTCTCTCTCTCTTAACCCTCTTTAAGCTCCATCGAAGATTCAGATATTCGAAGCTCCATCGAAGCGATTTCGAAGCTTCATAGAAGATTCAGATCTAAGCTCCATCGAAGATTCAGATCGAGGCTCCATCGAAGCGATTTCGAAGCTCCATCGAAGATTCAGATAGAGATTCAGAAATTCAGAAGCTCAGATCTGAACTCTGACCCCTCGATTACTCGCATTTCAAGCTCAAATCGGTACTCTCTCTCTCTCTGTCTCGCTCTACATGAAGCTACATAAATAGAAAGTTTCATTTTCAAGATTTCATAGAAATCATCTACATGAAGCTATATAAACATGATGGAAAATTTGGAGTTATATTTTAAGCTAATCTTCTAATCTGGTGCATTTTGCTAATCTGGTGTCTCTGTATCTGTGTGCTGCTCTGGTGTACCTTTGCTATGTTTTGCTGTATATGTGTTCTAGTATGCTGTTACATTGGTGTATCTATTGTTTCATTAGTGCTTCTGTAGCACAATTGTCTTGTTAGCTGCTGTTTTTTGCTATTTTATGGGCTAAGTTCTATGTGAAATAAAATCTTAAGGGCACTTGACATAATTATGTCAAACTTACAAATTAGAAATTAGTAATCATTCGATTTGCGATTCAATACAAGGCATTTCAATTCATGTTTCAAATCTCGATTTGACGACTATGCTCATAACATTTAATTAAGTCCCAATTTGTAATAAGATTCTCCTTTGTTTGTTGGTGTAATATAAGAACGTCAAGATATACAACCTTGTTTTGGCAGATGAGGTTCATCTCCCATTTGATGATTGCACTTTTAGGCATGAGCCAAAGGCTATTTTAATTACCTGTGACGGGTTTGTGTATTTTGAAGTTAGCATTTTAGCAAGGTATCACATAAAATGGAGAAGCATGATTTCATTTTTATTTTATATCCACTTACGTTTTATTTTATTATATTATTAACTATGAAAGGGTTACTTATTCAGTGATATAGAATCAGTATCTCTGTTTACTTGCGTTCTATCTAAATTCATTCTGACAAACAGGATCATTTTGTGCTTGCACTAACATAAAATGTGTCTAGGTTTATCCTGAAGGAACACATTTGATGATTCCCTAGTTTGAAAGGCCTATTGTTTATGATGTTTGTGCACGTCCCAATCTTGTTGAGAGCTCTTCGAGGAGTCACGATCTCCAAATGGTAAGTTTGTTTTACAGATTTTCTTATATTTATCATGCACAAAATAAAATGGCAACAAAACTTGCTGGTTTATTTTAGTGACTTTTTCCAGATATGGCATACTTGATCTCTTCATAAATTTAAAAGTTTTTGAACTCTTGATTGAAGCCTGGATAAAAAGAATTACGTGCCTCGAAATAAGGTTTCACTTTTATATGGTAGTCAAGGAGGTTAATTTATGGAAACATTTTGATCTTTCTAAATCCCTTTTGTAGATTTGTTTCTTGTTATTCGATCTGGGCTTTACTATTTGCACTAATATTTATTTAGCATTGCTATATGCTAGGAGGTCGATTGTCTTTAATTATTCTGGTATTTAATTCCTGCTATTTGTGCTGAATAGGTTAAGATAGCTTTTCGTGCCCTTACACGCCCTGTGCCAGATCAGATGCCAACAATCTACTGCACTCTTGGTGAAAACTATAATGAGAGAGTGTTGCCTTCTATAGTTCATGAAACACTGAAAGCCGTGGTTGCATAATATAATGCAAGCCAACTGATCACTCAGGAAGAGGTCAGTCAGACATTCCCTCCCCCTCTCCTTTTTCTTTGCAAATTCATTCTATAAGAGTTGAACCCGAGACTTCACACACAAAAGGTGTTACACAACCACTCGGCCAAATGCCTTGGTTGACCAATGTGTAGTTTTGTCTATACATTGGTCAACCAGGAATGGTGGAAGGATTTATGTTTTAGGGTGTGGTCATCCCTCTCTCCATATCACATTTACACTGTTTGTTTTGGCAGAAAAATATTTTTTTGGTAAAATGTTTTCCATTAAAAATATTTTATGACAGTCATGGTGGCGGTGGTTGTGTTTTGGTGGGGGTGATGGCTTTTTCGTTTAATGCCAAAAATAATTTCCACTTAAGTTCATTAAAATTAACTTATATTTTGTTGGACACAAAAATATTTTCCAACTAAATTTTTGAATTTTTTTTTAAAAAATATTTTCTGCCAAAACATTTTGGGATTGTAGTGTAACAACAAACACTATGTTGCCCTTGATTGAGAGGTGTCGAAAGGCACGAGTCTGATTTAGTTCACACGCTTTTGGAGTGTGAAAACATTACACTTCGATTTGTGAAAAATAATGAGATCCACACTTCGATCTGTTTATGGCATGACCCTTCATTAAAATCCTTTGGATTCTATTTACTGTGACTGTCAAGATTTATAAGGATATTAATTACTGTCAAAGTCAAAAAGATTTTTATTTTATTTCTTATTACTATTAGGGTTCTTTATTGTATTGAGGCTATGATGGTATTGGGCTCACAGATGATTCAGTTTAATGTAATTTTCATGATGTTTATAAATGATTTCAATTGAAAAAATACTTATCTTTTATGATTTTTTTTATATATAAATTTTTTTTATATAGCATTACACTAATCTTAATTATTGTTGACTTCTCTCTCTCTCTCTCTCTCTCTCTCTCTCTCTCTCTCTCTCTCTCTCTTTCAAAAAAAATCTAAATTCAGTTTTCTTCATGCAATTGGAAAGGGCTCCCTTGGGATTAACTGTCTTGATGATTATTTGGTTTGAAGCAGAAGGGATATTTTGTTCATATTTTAGTATCTAATGTAGCTGCTCTAATTCTTGCTAAGTTGGACCAGGACAAGAGAAAATGCTGTAATGCAATTGTTATTGGAACTGTTAAAATTTGACAATATTTTGTACTCAATTTGGCTTGAAGTTAATGAGGCTTACACAACATCTCTATACCCACCAAAATCACATTTCTTTTTATTTACCGTTAATACCGTTAATGAGGATGATAGAAATTAGAAATTAGTAATTATTCTTTTTATTTACAGGAATGGAATAATTTTCAACTGATATTTTTGAAAGTGAGATAAGTAATTATTCTACCTTACAAATTAGTCAAGTGATCCCTAGAGATGTTTAGTGAGAAGTTATATTGGACAATGGTACAATGCTATGTTCACATAATTCCCCTCCCTCCCATCCTTATCTCTACTCCTACAGGGCCTTATCTATGGATTCTCTGATCTGATAGATTGAATTTTATTATGGTGTCTAGAAGGCTTTAGGATAGCTTGGCCTGGCCCTTTATATTCTAGATTCCGTCGTTGTTTTTTCTTTCTTGTTCCTTGTATGTCCTGCTAAATTTGCTTATTTCAATTTATTTTTTAAGGAAATTCCTTTCCCCTTCCTTCAATCTTCTCCCTCAGTTATGTTCTTGCATATTTTTTAACTTCATAGAGAGAAACCTTGCAGCTGTTATTCTTTTCTCTTCGTCTGCTTCTTCTTAGTAGCTTTGGATTTTTGCAGATCTTACTGTTTCCTTTTTTTTGGCACACATCTCTCTTATTTTATGCCCATGTGATAACAATTGATTACAATTTATGGTTGAGGTGAATTTATTGGCATGTCAATTCACATTTCTGGAAATAGCTGTGTTGCTTGGTGATCTTCACTTCATTGTGAACAGTGAGTGGATCTGCATCTGAATTGCTCAAATTTCTGCCTGCTAAATGCTTTTCAGGTCTTTCCCTGTGTTTCTGCAACATGTGGCCGTTTTTACCATCCACATTGTGTTGCAAAACTGCTCCATCATGGGAGTGCTGCAGAGGCAGAAGAGCTTCAGAAGAAGATTGATGCTGAGGAATCTTTCACATGTCCTATTCATAAATGCTCTGTCTGCAAACTGGGTGAAAATAAGATTGATCCTGATTTGCAATTTGCTGTCTGCAGGCGCTGTCCCAAGTCATTTCACAAAAAATGCTTGCCTACGTACTGCTTAACTGTGTTCATTTTTTTTATTTTATTTTTGAACGTCATCATGAAATCTTCTTGTATAAATTTAGCTACTATTTTGTAGCTGTTGATGCTTGCTTTACTTCGATCAGGAAGATTGCTTTTGAAGATGATGAGGATCAGGGCATCGTACAAAGGGCTTGGGAAGGTCTTATTCCAAACCGTATTTTGATATATTGCTTGTAAGTGCTCTTTTGTTTCTAGTAGCTCTTCTTGATCTTCTTCACCTTTTGTTTCTAGCCGCTCTTCTTGATCTTCTTCATAGTAGCTTGCAAAATATTCATCGACCTTTTCCCTTTTTTCCAGAGAACATCTGATTGATGATGAATTTTGTACTCCGGATAGAAACCACATAAAGTTCCCAGATGATAGACAACAAAAGAAAAAACAAGCATCACAACAACTGTCAAGCAAAGTTAAAGTTCTGCAGAAGGAGAGAAGTCTGGCCTCACAAGATGCTCCCAGAAAGAGAACTCTTGAGAAAGTGCAGAAAGGGGTTGATTTGTCTTCAAAAATCAAAGAGGGCAATTCTTCTGAAAAAAAGGTGAGATTATTGACTGGTCTTGATACTTCAAAGAAACAAAAAGTGGCAGATACATCTAGAAGGCCTTTGAACAATACTGCTGCAACAAAAGTTGGAAAGTCTACCACCAATGCGAATAGGGCTTCCTTGGGAGAGAGGTTGTATGCCTTGATTAATAAAGATTCTAGGAACGAGGACACATCTGATAGTGAACATAAGCAAACCCTGCATGGCAAGTGTGTTGGAAAGGAAATGAGCAGTTCAGTGCCTCTAGATGATGATAGAAAACGGAGGTAACAGACATTTATTACATCATCTCATTGTTACATTGTGTTTATGTCTCTTTGCTGGTTAGTCTTTGAGTATTTGAAATTTATTTGATTTCTGTAGGTTACCATTAAATGTATTAGTATTTTAGCTAATCATGAAAGAAAATCATTGACTCTCATGATTTTCTTGTGTGGTGGGATATGTACTTGATAATTGTTGTGATAAGAGTTCACACTTAAATTGTGGCCTAGCAGTTGGTAGGTAGCATAGTGCTAGAATTCAGTGTTGAAAAATCAGAAAATTGTGTCACTGGGCAGTTTCTTTGGTATTTCAGCTCTCTTACTGAGCTTTATGTTGAAGTTTCAGGTAAGTCCTGATTTGACATGTTTTTTAACTTGATTAGTCGAGGTGTGTGCAAACTAGTCCGTCCAAATACCCGATTATGAAAAAAGAAGAAAAAGTCTTGATTTGGGCATGTTTTTCAGCTTGAGATCAAATTAGTTGGATTGTTTTCTTTAAGCAACATTTGGATTAGATATGAGTATGAAATTAGTAGGAATTGCGTAGGAAGTTATCTTTGGAAGGCTTGATTCTCGATACCTGACCTGTACCTTATAAAACTTCTATGGAAAAATTTTAGACTTTCTTTTCTGCCCAGTGTTACATCCCTTGTTCCAATTTGCTCATAGTAGCTTTAGGCATGTTTGCATCCCTTGTTCCAATTTGTTTTCTTTATGCATGTTTGTTCATTTTTGCTCATAGTAGCTTTAGGCATCTTTTTCTTGTCCTTTTACGTTATTTTGTATAATTTTTACTTTCTATAATTTATTTCTTTTTAATCAAAGTATAGGAATTTAGTTGGATTTGCATCTTTTATTGAATTGGGCTTCTACACTTGTTTAAATGGGTATTTCAAGCTTCAATGATCTTGTATTCTCTTTCCTGTTTTTTTATGGGTTTTGTAGCCTCTTGCCTGGATTTGAGTTCATGAATACGCTCTCTTGTGTGAATTGATCATACGTTGAAGAAATTGTTGGCAATTTTTGCAATTTTTTTAGAAAGAATGGTTGTTTGCCGAATTGGAGAGAATTAGATGGCGCCATCAATTATTTTTTTTATCGTCAATTAAAGGTCTAGATTTGTTCATCATAGACCTGTTCAACATTGGCCCAGATTTTTGGTTGGATTCAAATTTGGATTTGTATGTGATGGCACATCTCAATTTGATAAGGTTATACACATTCTAAAAGAAAAAATATGTTAAAGACCCTTCAGAAGTCTTGCCTAATTTGACATACATTGGTTTTCTTGGTATGTGATAAAATCTTCTTGTTAGTGCTTCTTCAAGTTTTAAGTACTGTTTATAAGTATTGGGTACAAATTCTTCAATTTGTGCTTATTTTGGTGAATCTGATTGCGGTTTGTGTTCTGATGCAGGCATGTAGACCAGTGAAGATTACAACTTTAATGCTAAGATATGATTTTTGGATATATGTTAGTTTATGGTTAATGTTAAGACATGATTTTTGGATATATGTTAGTTTGTTGTTAATGTTAAAACATAATTTTTGGATTTTGGATATGTTAATTTTGTGGGTAATGGTGATTGTATATTAATTGAATGAGAAAGTGAATTAATGCTTTATTACAACTATTTGAATAGGAGTTATTATTTTATATTAGTGCTATTACAGGTATTTTTTTAGTTCAATCAAATAAAATTAGCACAATTTCAAAAAAAAAAAGGAAAAAAGAAAAGAAAAAAGGGATATGACGGCGTTTCTACAAACGCCTCTTAAACCCTACATACTAACGGTCATATGCTGTTAAAAAGATATGACGGCGTTTTTCCAAAACGTCACTAAATAGCGTCAGTGACGTCAGCGTGTGTTTAGGAGGACATTTGGCGGCTTTTTTAAAAACGCCACCTATGCTAATATCACGACGTTTTTAAAACGCCATAAATCTATAGCGACGGCCGCGTCCTCGGCGTTTGGTGCTAAGCGTCACAAAAAGAATTGGCGGCGTTTTTGACACTTTTAGCGGCATTTTTTATACGCCACTAAAAGTTAAATTTCTTGCAGTGTTGTCAGAGAACAATAACAATTAATCCACTATAAAGTAACGGAAAGTTTACCTTTATTAAAAATTCTCTCCCCTCTCTCATCATTCAAAAAACTGACTTTACACTCCCACATGGGTCTTCCAACTTTCTTCTCTCTCATATTTTCAAGACCCACCTCACTCCACCCTACCACTTTCTCATACGAATTGCTGACCCACTTTGAAGAGAGAATTTACCTTCATTTTTTTTTCCTCTATTGTTATCTTCTTCCAGACTTGAATCTCCTCTTTCTTGCTAAAGGTAACCTGTTAAGTTTTTTATTCGAATTAAAGTTAAGACCTTCTAACTTTTTTCTCATTTTTCTTCTAACCAAATCTATTAATTTTTTTTATTTTATTTTTTCAACTTTAGGTTAAAATTATCATAAATCTCATGGCATAAGAACCAAATCAAAGTGTGGAACCCACAATGGTTTCAAATCAAGAAGAAGTTGAAGAAAGAGGTACTTTTATATTATATATATATATATAAACATTCTATTTTTTTTTTATTAGCAAAAAAAAGAATTTTATTGAAGGAATAAACAAGTACAAGGTACAAGACAAATTACATCAATAAAGAAAAGGGAGGTGCAAAAGCATCACAATGGGCTAAATCATCCCAACGAGGTAGGCACCATCTAGCTCATCCTATCATTTGCTAGCACCCTCAAAGTTGGTGAGAGACCAACGAGACCAGAACAAACAATCAACAAAGGCACACAAACAACACAAGCAGACCAACCAGCAGACAAACATTAAAACAACAACCATTCATCAAAACAAACCAACCAGTACCAAATCCCCAAAATAGCAACCAGAGGTAGATCCTATATTGAAGCAATTGTTGATATTATAAATGCTGAATCAACTAACTCCACTACTGAGATTACTACTGATGAGGCAGATTTTGCTACAAAGGATGCAATGACCAAACTAATGAATAATACTCTTAGCATCCTCTGCAGATTTGGTAACACTAGGGCCCAATAGCAGAAACCTCCAGACAACCCTTTCTAAGGAAAAATAAGGCCTTGCCATGCATTTGAGTAAATTAAATGTATTTGATTCAAAATTGAAAATTGTATTTCACGTTGTAGTTCCCAAATGCATTTCATGCTGCATTTGATCAAACCTAGCAACTTCACCAACTAAATTATACTCTCAACTGCAGCAGCATACACACACTAGCCTGGCTTCACCAGCATTGCAAATTGACACTGAGAAACAAAACAGAAGCAACAAACACACATAGCAGTGTACATACACATAGCAAACTGAAACAAACTGACAGACCGAAGCAGAAGAATAGAGCCTGAGCCAAAGCAGCAGAAATTGAAGCAAAACAATCCATCCTCTCACAACAGCAGCATACCTTTACACCTGAGTAAGGCAGACTAGGAAAATAGAGCTTAACACACAGCAGTCCACAGCAGTAGCAATGTAAACTCTGAAGCCAACAATCAGTCCACAGTAGCAGCAGCTCAACCATTGAAGACAGACAACAGATGACAGGACTGGAGTCAAACAATCAAAAAATCACAACCAATGAAAGCAGATAGCAGATGACAGGGCTAGAATCAACTCCCCTACCTAAACCAATATTGAAATCATACTGAACCAAATACATAGAGGAACCACCACAGCTGAACAAAGCAGACCACAATTGAGCAAGGCAAACCAACAAGATGTACCCATAAGCAGACTAAAGCAGTCCCAAACACCAAAGCCAGCATAAGAACAAAAGAACAGCAAATGAAGATGAAATAGAATCTGAGGCAGAGTAGCTGCAATTCTACTACAAGGCCATACCAGACACACTAAACACAACTTCTAACTTGATGGAGATTAAACTTAAACTCATCAACATTCTGTTTTAATATTGAAGATAGAGAGAATATATGTAATATATATACTCAATTTATTACTTTAAATAAATAAATATATACATATTTTAATATTTAATATTTATACATATAAATATTATGTATAAATCTGTATATAAATTGTAACGCCCTCAAAATAATAACATTAAACCCATCAATAAAGACATGAACTGGTAATAAAGATAAACATTCTTCTATTCATCAGAGTAGCTTCTTACAAATGTATTACATGTTAACAACAAAAGCAAATGCCCTACGGGCTTACAGCTTTCCAAGTTAACACTTGGTTACAACAAAAGAGTGCTAATCAATTTGCCATATTAGCCTTGGCTTGAATTGTAGCGATGTAATACAGTCATAGGACACAAAACTACAAGTGTGTCCGCGCTCTAGCCTCCAAGCTATGTCCTGGAGGTGGCATGATACTGTACCTGAAAATGATAATTCCCATATAGGTGGGAGCCACAGCCCGTTAGAAATACACTAAACACAATATGAACAATGACTAAAGATTAGCAGTTGTAAGATGGTCAACACTGATACCTTCCCTTATCACATATTAATTTTCATGATATACAACTTCATATTCAACTCATTTCCAATTCCTTTCAATTCTCAAATTTCAACCATAGGCTCAGAACCCCTGGCAAGACAACTCTATGGGGCA